GGTTGATACCAATCTCGAACCGTCCTTCGCTCCTGATCCATAATTCTTTGAGACATGTCGTTTGCTCTGTTGGGTTAAAATGATCCTGAGGGGACCCCCCAGCTGGTCATCCTCGACTCTAATCTTTGAGTGATACTTGTTATGGACATCAGCCCAAGTAACCACGGGGTACTCAACCAAGTTTTGCTTCAATTGATGAGAAGCGACGGAACATCGGGGACTGATCCCTTGGGTGAACCCTTGGACGTCCCAATCATCTATGGCCAGGGGTTGATCCATTCGCTCCATCTGTAACCTTGACACAAATTCCCTAAGAATCTCCTTCTCTCTCCTTGACTTTGAAGAGGTCTGATTTCCTCGTTTCGACCTTGATGGCGCTAGCATGGGCCTTAAAGAAGGCATCTGCAAGCATAGCAAATGAATTAATGGAATTAGGAGGCAAGTTATAATACCATTTCATCGCTCCTTTGGACAGAGTTTCCCCAAATTTCTTTAATAAGACTGACTCGATCTCATCATCTTCTACGTCTTTGCCTTTAATTGCACATGTATAAGAGGTTATATGCTCATTTGGATCTGTGTTCCCGTTATATTTGGGAATATTTGGCATTCGGAATCTCTTTGGAATTGGCTTCGGAGCCGCACTCGGTGGCAAAAGGCTTCTGAATGAATTTTTTGGAATCCGACCCTTTCAATATTAGAGGCGCTCCTGGGATCTTATCAACCCTTGAATTGCAAGTTTCCACCTTCTTGTCATTTGCCTATATCTTTTTCTTACAAGACTCCACCCGCTTTGTTAGTTCTTCGAGCAGTTTCAACACCTCGGAAGATTCCTCGGGCCAGAACTCTTCCAGTTCCGCAGCAGTTTATTCATCTTTTCAAGAATTTTCTCTAACCCTCTCGGGCTCGATCCTGTTTTGGGCGTGGCTTTGGATTTATAGCTGTGCTATTGCGGCTTACTAAGCTTGTAACATTTCGAAAATAAATCGTAAGCTAACTATATCACCTTCCCTTCGGGTGCTTCTCGAGCCGATGGCTGGGGTGCCCCGCGAATGTTATCTTTGGGGTTAGTTGGCAGGTTGATGTTGAAGTCAACTTATGAGTTAGCATCGACCAGGTCAACGATTGGGGCACCGTTGGGATAAATAGGGGGTACATCATTGCTGGGTACCACATTATTGTTTTCACCGTGTTGGCCTGACTTGGAGTCAACGTTCAAGTGACTAGACTGAAAATTTGACATTTTTAGATTAACCTGAAATCAAACTTCAAAGAGCAAGTGTAAAGTAGGGTATGTTATGGAGATTCATATTAAATCACCACTATTATCCTTATCCCCATGGTGGGATCCAAACGGTTTATCCTTAAAATAAGTAACAATTAAATTTGTATGCAGTTAAAGAATACGTGATTTAATTTAACACTAATGACCTATGAACAGAAAACAGTTAAAGTAAATAGAAGAAAAATGATCAAACCAAACGTGATGAATAATTAAGCATGGCTTTTAGATGAACACTGAAAATTAACCTCGGCTGAGCCCTCGATATGGGCTCGGTTGCAACCAAATGATTAAGTAGTTGAAGAACACTATGAACAGTAACTAGAGAACAAAAATAAACTTTTATTACTTTGATATGCGTGTCAACAGTTGTTTTGAAAATAAAAAGGTTCTCCCTTTTATATAGTAGGGAAGTTTCAATCCTAGTACAAATATAAATAAGGTAAAAAAATCTTCTTCTCCCAGTAAATGCTGATCTGCGGTTGATATCGGGGGAGATTTGCGCTGTAACATCCGATTGAGGACGAATATTACGGCTCCCCACTTATCATGTCCAACTGTTTTTCCCTTAGCCACAGACCTTCACTCTTATCGAACCCGATGCTCAATTGTATCCGACCCCGGGTGCACCATTCGTCCTCCTCGGGCTCCGAGACGCGCAACCCCTTGGCTTTACTCGGGCTCGTGTCAAATCGTACTTCCCTCTTATTTCTTTACCGAGAAATCAAGGATAACTTTATCCCTGATATTACCCGTACACGGCATGATCATACATTAAAAAAGCATATCCAAAATTGTGTAATATCGCATTTGTTTCCTCTTTATACTGGAATGAAACATTTGCTTTTATCACTATTATAATGCTATGTCTAACGGGTATTACCATTTATTGTAAAAGTGGAGAAGAGTGAAGATTACATATTAGTAAATTGGATCCCAAAGCCAAGTGTCCGTGATTTCTGATACCCACTTTAAGCATGTTTATCCTAAAAATGGATAACAATTGAATTTATACAACGGTTTTAAGGACACGTGATTTTACTTGGCACAAACTGAGAGAAAAAATAAATTGCTATTGAAATTAAATAAAAATAAAACAAACAAAATGAGATGTATAGCTTTGATCCTCAAGCTAGGTCGCATTCGAATCAAATAAGTATTTTACTGGAAAGTATTAACAGAAAAACAGAGTATTGAGAGCTTAAGAAGATGGTATATTGCTTTATATAATGTGAATATGATATCCTTTACAAATAACCATGCCCCCTTTATATAGTAGGGGAGTCCTCATATTGGTACAATTCTAAATACAGCAAGAAATCCCATGATTGGCTAATTAGTCGGCCTATTCTTGATACGTGTCAGGATTTTCGCCGTGATCCTCACTCGTTTAAAGATATTTCGTCTTTCCGTTATTCGACCCAGTAAGCTTCCCTCTTTATCCATGTTATTTAGTCCCAATCTTGGTTGATCTCATTCTTCGTCGGTCTCAGTTTTGGTCAGTCTTGATCTTAATTGGTCTTAATATCTCGAGCTTAATCGATCTTAGGGTCTCAAGCTAGACAACCTAACTGTGCACCATAGTTTGATATAAATTGAAGTTGATCCTTGACTCATCATGCTCCAGCCTCGATCAGTCACACAAAAAGGTCAAGCCCGATTTTGACCGTATATAGATAGTCCTCTCATTTTTTGGAGAGTAATTACAAGAAACAATTTGAGCCCTCGATCTTCACCTCGATGCATCATGACATAAGCAACAGAGATAACCAAAACATCTCGTAGGTACAGTTTCCCAAGCATTTAATGTGTGCCAGTCAACGGTTGGCCACTATTGAATTTGAACTGTCGGCTTAAACCTATAAATGTATCTTTCTTCTTTTGTCCAAACTTTACTTTCAAACCTTCTTCGCTCTAATCTTCAAAATTCCTTTGCCTTCCTCAAAGCTTTGTGTTTTCATATCTCTGGTGTTTCTTCGCCTGTTTCACCATAAAATACCAAGTGTTTCTTCTCACTTTCCATTATTCTTCATTCGTAAAATTAAAATGGCTAAGACTTCAAAAACTATTCGACAAAAGGAGATTGCTTCATCGTCATGGACGGTTGGTGAGGAACTGGTGGCGGAGCCACACCTTAAAGATTTTTTTCCTGGAGGATTGTCCTCGATTTTGATTTTAATGATGAAAAGACTTCCTCAGTGCTGGGTCGATGCGAGCCGATATCGAGATACATATGCTCGATAACCGAAAAACTCCTCTCCTAGGTTAAAGAAGATTGCAACTAGGGTAAAAACATGTGGTGATGCCTGCTTTAGAAGAATCAATCACCACCCACGTAGAAGGGTTCTTAAGTGTTTACACTTACCTCTTCACGTTGGGTCCTTTGGATTCGATTATCATAGATTTCTGCAAGAAATATGAGGTGGTCCTCGGTTAGATTCATCCCTCTTTCTGGAGGATAGTGATACTACTTTGTTTCTTTGCAAGCAAAGTCGATGTGCTTCCCTTCACCCTCGACCATCTCATCCGCCTATATAGCCCTCGACTCTATCGATGAGGGTTAATAAAGCTTCAACGTCGGGCCACTAGGGCACCTTTCTCGATCATAGATGAGGACAAATACTGGGGCTGGATGGGCCAATTTGTTCGAGTGAAGACCTCGGACTTGATCCCGGCCGAAAGTATGCCATTTCCTGATAAATGGAATATGAAGCATATTTCCTCAATTTCTATTTATTGCCTTCATTTTTTCCCTTTATTATTAGTGTTTTATTGTCATGATTTGACATGAAAGATAGAATTTTCCAACTTGAAATGGTCTCCTACACGCCCGTCTCTGAATAATACTAACGGTCTCATTTAACGGTAATCCCCCGCTAGTGAACTTCTCCAACACCGGCACCGGCGTGGACGGGTAATCTAGGTAAGCACACCCCCTCTCTATCCCCTCGCTCTCTCTCTCTCTCTATCTCTCTATCTCTCCCTCCACCTGTCTCTCTTTCTTCCCCCTCCCCTCTTCCCTCTTCTTAACCCTAGCAGAGACTAGGCCGGCGATCGATGCTTCACCGGTGTTGCTCCATCTCTCTTCTCCTTTTTTCGGCTTCTACCCCAACCCCCTCCTCTGTGCTTCCCCTTTTCCTTTATATTTTTCCGTTTCTCTGCTTCTTTTTCCAGCGTCGCTCCACTGTTACAAGGTTCGGCATTGTTTTTCGGCGAGTCTAGCCAGTAGTAGATCTGTGTGTCACTGGTGGTGACGGTGACAGTCCCGCACTTGTCTCTTTTTCTCGGTTCCATTGTGTGTTTGTGTGTTATCTAGGTTGCAATTTGTTTGTGGTCGTTTCGGGTTGAGTGGGAGGTGTATGAGCAAACACAGCACAGCCGGCAGGCAAGTTGGTAGTCTAAAGGGCTGGACGTCGGGTCCCACAGCACCGAGAGTATAGCAAGTCAAAAGTCCAGGTTCTATCCGCGGGAATTGGTACCTCCTGTCACCTATTTGTTTTAGTTAATTTGTTGTTGTAGTAGTTCTGGATATTTGTTACCTTCTAGTTTATACCTATGCTTGTTTGTAGTTGCATTTTTGTCTAGACCACNGGAACAAGGGAGCCTGTAGGTTGAGGATTGGATCATGGAATAGAGGGACGTTGACGGGTAAGTCTATAGAGCTAGCGAAGATTCTCCAGAAGAGGAAGGTCAATATAGCTTGTGTTCAGGAGACCAGATGGGTAGGATCGAAGACGAGGAATGCATACAGGTTCAAATATGGTACTCCGGACGCGTGAAAGGCAAGAACGGAGTGGGTATTTTGGTGGATAGGGAGCTCAGGGAGTCAGTGGTTGAGGTTAGGAGGGTTAAAGACAGATTGATAGCGATTAAGTTAGTAGTTGGAGGGAGCACTCTGAATGTAGTTAGTGCGTACGCGCCGCAAGCGGGCTTGGGCGAGGAGGTTAAGAGGTGCTTCTGGGAGGGGTTGGATGAGGTGGTGTGGGGTATTCCGTCAACGGAGAAGTTATTTATAGGAGGGGATTTCAATGGTCATATTGGGTCATCGCCTGAGGGTTATGAAGAGGTGCACGGTGTCTTCAGCTTTGGGGATAGGAACGGAGGTGGTACTTCTCTATTGGATTTCACTAGGGGTTTTGAGTTGGTGATCGCGAACTCTAGTTTTCCGAAGAGGGAGGAGCATTTGGTTACTTTTCGGAGTATGATGGCTATGACCTAGATTGATTATATCCTCCTCGAAAGGGGTGATAGGGGGTTGTGCGAGGATTGTAAGGTGATCCCGAATGAGACCCTCACAACTCAACATAGGCTTTTGATGATGGACGTCAGTATCATGATAAAGAGGAAGAAGAGGTTTGTACGGGGTCAACCGAGGATAAGGTGGGGTGCTTTGGCTAAGGATACGGCACATAAGTTGGAGAGGCGGTTGATGACTATGGGTGCCTAGAAGAGTGATGAGGATGCTAACGCTTTGTGGACGACGACGGCGAACTGTATTAGGGAGGCGGCGAGAGGGGTGATAGGGGTCTCGAAGGGCTACTATGGCGGCCACCGAGGCGACTAGTGGTGGAATGATGTGGTCAAAGGTAAAGTAGAAACAAAGAAAATAGCGTACCTTGCGTTAGTGGAGAGTGCCGATGAGGAGCAGAGGAGAGCAAACAGAGTGAGGTATAAGGAAGCTAGGAAGGAGGCAAAATTAGCGGTCACAAAGGCTAAAACTACTGCATTTGATCGGTTGTATGAGGAACTGGGGGGAAATGTGGGGACAAGAAGCTATTTCGGTTGGCCAAAACGAGAGAGAGAAAGGCTCGTGACCTGGATCAAGTTAGGTGCATCAAAGACGAGGAAGATAGAGTATTGACGAAAGACTCCAAGATTAAGCATAGATGGAAGATGTACTTTCATAAACTTCTGAATGAAGAGGGGAGCGGTACCGTCGTGCTAGGGGAGTTGGGACACTCTGAGAGTCACCGAGACTTTGGGTACTGTAGGCGTATCAAGGTTGATGAAGTAGTGGGAGCTGTGGGCAAAACAATAGAAGCAAATGAGATTCTAGTAGATTTTTGGAGGTATGTGAGTAGAGCGGGCTTAGAATGGCTGACTAGGTTGTTTAATGTTATTTTCAAGACGAAGAGGATGTCAGATGATTGGAGATGTATTTTGATGATTTCGATGTTTAAGAACAAAGGTGATATCCATAATTGTAACAATTATAGGGGCATCAAGTCGCTAAGTCATACCATGAAAGTTTGGGAGAGGGTGGTAGAAGGGAGGGTGAGAAGGGCGGTATTTATTTCTAAAAATTAGTTCGGGTTCATGCCGGGTCGTTCTACTATGGAAGCTATCCACCTTATAAGGAGGTTGGTGGAACAACATAGGGATAGGAAGGGGGATTTACACATGGTGTTTATTGACCTAGAGAAGGCGTATGACAAGGTCCCTAGGGACGTACTTTGGAGATGCCTGGAAGTGAAAGGGGTACCGGTAGCATACATTGAATCGATAAACGATATGTATGATGGAGCTAAGACTCGGGTCAGGACTACGGAAGGTGACTCCGAGCTTGTTTCGGTGATTATGGGGTTACACCAAGGATCTACGCTTAGCCCATTCTTATTTTCTCTGACGATGGATGCCTTGATACACCATATTCAAGGGGAGGTGCCATGGTGTATGTTGTTCACTGATGATATAGTTCTGATCGATGAGTCGCGTAGCGGTGTTAATGTGAGACTGGATGTGTGGAGGCAAGCTTTGGAGTCCAAAGGTTTCAAATTGAGTAGGACCAAGATGGAATATCTGGAGTGTAAGTTCAGCGGCGTGTCAGGGGAAGCGGACGGGGTGGTGAGGCTCGACTCACAAGTCATCCCCAAGAGACAAAGTTTCAAGTACCTAGGGTCTATTATCCATGGAGATGGAGAGATTCACGGGGATGTCACGCACCGCATTGGGGTGGGGTGGATGAAATGGCGGTTAGCATCTGGAGTCCTGTGTGACAAGAGGGTACCACCAAAACTCAAAGGTAAGTTTTACAGAGTGGTGGTTAAGTTGGCTATGTTATATGGGGCTGAGTGTTGGGCAATTAAGAATTCACATGTCCAGAAGATGAAAGTAGCGGAGATAAGGATGTTGAAATGGATGTGCGGGCATACTAAACTGGATAAGATAAGGAATGAAGATATTCGGGAGAAGGTGGGTGTTGCTCCCGTGGACGACAAGATGCGGGAAGCGAGGCTTAGGTTGTTTGGACACGTGCGGAGAAGAACCATAGATTCCCCGGTTAGGAGGTGTGAGCGGTTGGTTTTGGCAGGTATGAGAAGAGGTAGAGGGCGGCCTAAGAAGAATTGGGGCGAGGTGATCAGGCAAGACATGGCGCGTCTTCAGATTTTTTAGGACATGGCTCTTGATAGGAACGTGTGGAGGTCGAGCATTAGGGTTGTAGGCTAGGGGTAGTGCATTGTTTTTTCTGGGTAGTCTGATAGAGCTTTGCCTATGTTTGGTAGTGGTCTAGGTTGTGTTCACAGTATTTTGTTGTTTTGCATAGGATTGTATTACTGCACTCCCTTTCACTTATTTGGTGTTAAGATATCATTATTACTTCCCCTGCTTCATTTATTGTTACAGATCTCCTCTTGCATTTCTTTTCTGATATTATTATCTCTTCTATTGAGTTGAGGGTCTCCCGGAAACAGCCTCTCTACCCTTCCGGGGTAGGGGTAAGGTCTGCGTACATCCTACCCTCCCCAGACCCCACTAGTGGGATTTTACTGGGTATGTTGTTGTTGTTGTATTAGTGTTTTACTTGATGTAGTTGTTTCTTGGATGCCGAGTGCGGTTCCCAATCTCGAGGACTGGGTTAGGATATTAATATCGCAGCCAACACATGATGAGCGCGCATGGCGCGATTGGTAAAGGGTCGATGGGCGGCTAGTAGTCACGGTAAACTTTTCTTCTTGACTTAATGATTTGACCACAGTTCGAATATTTTTCCGAACTTAATCATTTTTCTTCTTTTGTAGGTCTCGGTAAGGATGTTATGATGAGTCCCCCATCTGGTGATGAAGAAATTCCTCCCCTATCATTTGTCTCAAAGTTGGTAAAGGAGAAGAAGAGGAAAAGAGCTTCGACTTCTGTGAACTCTAAGGGCCAGAATCCCAAAAAGAAAACAACCTGTAAACCCAAGGGGAACATCATCCCTTTGACTTTGGAGTCAGTCCAATGGCTAAGGGAAGAGCCAGAAGAAGAAGAAGAAGAAGAAGAAGAAGAAGAAGAAGAAGAAGAAGACTCCGGGCTTGTGGCCCATGTGCGAGCTCGCACTGAGATTCAAGGAACTACTGAGCTGGTAGAGGTTGAGACTGCTCCGCCTCGACTTGATGAGAGTGAGGGGAAGTCTTCGACTGAAGTCCCCGAGCTAGAAAGAACGGAAGATGCTTTTCCTCAAAGTGAGAAGGCTACCAAGGAGGCAGTTGATGCTGGTGTAGAAACCGGGCTCGAGGCTTCCCGAGATGAAGGCACCTCAAAAGATTCACTTGCGGTGATAAATATCAAGGATTCCCCTTCATTTCCTTTGTTTAATAAGTCAATGATCAAGGAGTCTAAGGTGGTGGAGAGGTCCATGAAGCAGAAGACCCTTTCCGTGGTTACTTCGTTGGAGTGGAGGATGCCACCTGCCTGGGTGATTTGGAAGTACCGAGGAATAGGTCGAGCGAGGCTTCCTCGAGCCTTAAACTGGTCAATCAATTTCCAGCTCTAAGTGTCGATCCCGGGCACAAGCGATCAATCGTCATCTCGATTCCGGAGGATGTTCTCCCCCCCCCCCCCAAAGG